TCAAATCTTTCATATGCATCACATATCACATCCCGCATAGCATACCATGTTTGCATCATGTTGTTTGAGCTTTGCACGTGGTTGATTGTGTTCCTTGTGCTTGTTTGTCTTGTTTGGGTAGAGCCGGGAGACGAGTTCGCTAACTAGGAGCCCATTGAGTTTGATTTCGAGGATCCAGTCAACTCTGACAACTTTGCAGGCAAGATGATCATACCCTCGAAATCACTTCTATCTTTGCTCTGCTAGATGCTCGCTCTTTTGCTATGCCTATGGTACGATGCCTACCACTTGCTTATCATGCCTCCCAAATTGCCATGTCAAACCTCTAACCCACCATGTCCTAGCAAACCATTGATTGGCTATGTTACCGCTTTGCTCAGCCCCTCTTATAGCGTTGCTAGTTGCAGGTGAAGATTGAAGGCCGTTCCTTGTTGGAACATTTATTTACTTGTTGGGATATCATTATATTGCGATGTTATCTTAATGCATCTATATACTTGGTAAAGGGTGGAAGGCTCGGCCTTTTGCCTAGTGTTTTGTTCCACTCTTGCCGCCCTAGTTTCCGTCATATCAGTGTTATGTTCCCGGATTTTGCGTTCCTTACGTGGTTGGGTGATAATGGGAACCCCTTGACAGTTCGCCTTGAATAAAACTCCTCTAGCAATGCCCAACCTTGGTTTTACCATTTGCCACCTAGCCTCTTTTTCCATTGGGTTTCCGGAGCCCGAGGGTCATCTTATTTAAACCCCCCCGGGCCAGTGCTCCTCTGAGTGTTGGTCCAAACAGAGCCACTTGCAGCGCCACCTCGGGGAAACTCGAGGTTTGGTTTTAGTTGTACGTAGTGTTCATCTGAGTGTGCCCTGAGAACGAGATATGTGCAGCTCCTATTGGGATTTGTCGGCACATTCGAGCGGTGTTGCTGGATTTGTTTTAACTTGTCGAAGTTGTCTTGTAGAACCGGGATACCGAGTCTGATCGGAATGTCAGGTATATCCTTCGTTGACCGTGAGAGCTTGTCATGGGCTAAGTTGGGACTCCCCTGCAGGGATTTAAACTTTTGAAAGTCGTGCCCGCGGTTATGGGCAGATGGGAATTTGTTAATGTCCGATTGTAGATAACTTGAATCTTAACTTAATTAAAATGAATCAACTGTGTGTTACCGTGATGGTCTCTTCTCGGCGGAGTCCGGGAAGTGAACACGGTGTTGGAGTAATGTTTGCCGCAGGATGTTCTATAGTTCGTCGTTCGTGCTTTGCCTTCTCTTCTCGCTCTCTTTTGCGAACAGGTTAGCCACCATATATGCTAGTCGCTTGCTGCAGCTCCACATATTACCTTGTCTTACCTATAAGCTTAAATAGTCTTGATCGCAAGGGTGCGAGATTGCTGAGTCCCTGTGGCTCACAGATTACTTCCAAACCAGATGCAGGGCCTAATGACTCTGTTCTAGATGATGCGCTTGAGCTCAAGTGGGAGTTCGACGAAGACTCACGTCGTTACTATGTGTCTTTCCCTGATGATCAGTAGTGGTGCCCAGTTGGGGCGATCGGGACCGTGTCGCATGTTGGGTTGATCTTTTATTTTGGTACCGTAGTCGGACCATGATTGTATTGGTTGATGTAATGCTATTTATGTACTTTGTTTGACGTGGCGAGTGTAAGCCAACTATGTACTTTTCCCTTTATTATCTATATTACATGGGATGTTGTGAAGATTACCTTACTTGCGACATTGCTTTCAATGCGGTTATGCCTCTAAGTCGTGCTTCGACACGTAGGAGATATAGCCGCATTGAGGGCGTTACAGAGGCCACGCTTAAGTCCCTCGTACCTGCACAAAACGATAGCTACTCGCAACCAACGCGATTAGGGGTTGTCAATCCCTTCACGGTCACTTACGAGAGTGAGATCTGATAGATATAATATTTTTGGTATTTTTGGTATAAAGATGCAAAGTAAAAAGTAAAAGCAAAGCAAGATTAAAGTGATGGAGATTGATATGATGAGAATAGACCCGGGGGCCATAGGTTTCACTAGTGGCTTCTCTCAAGAGCATAAGTATTCTACGGTGGGTGAACAAATTACTGTTGAGCAATTGACAGAATTGAGCATAGTTATGAGAATATCTAGGCATGATCATGTATATAGGCATCACGTCCGTGACAAGTAGATCGAAACGATTCTGCATCTACTACTATTACTCCACTCACCGACCGCTATCCAGCATGCATCTAGAGTATTAAGTTAAAAATAGAGTAACGCCTTAAGAAAGATGACATGATGTAGAGAGATAAATTCATGCAATATGAAATAAACCCCATCTTGTTATCCTCGATGGCAATGATACAATACGTGCCTTGCTGCCCCTTCTGTCACTGGGTAAGGACACCGCAAGATCGAACCCAAAGCTAAGCACTTCTCCCATGGCAAGAACTACCAATCTAGTTGGCCAAACCAAACAGATAATTCGAAGAGACTTGCAAAGATAACCAATCATACATAAAAGAATTCAGAGAAGATTCAAATATTATTCATAGATAGACTTGATCATAAACCCACAATTCATCAATCTCAACAAACACACCGCAAAAAGAAGATTACATCGAATAGATCTCCACAAGAGAGGGGGTGAACTTTGTATTGAGATTCAAAGAGAGAGAAGAAGCCATCTAGCTACTAACTATGGACCCGAAGGTCTGAGGTAAACTACTCACACTTCATCGGAGAGGCTATGATGATGTAGAAGCCCTCCGTGATGACGGCCCTCTTCCGGCGGAGCTCCGGAACAGGCCCCAAGATGGGATCTCGTGGATATAGAAAGTTGCGGCGGTGGAATTAGGTTTTTGGCTCCGGTTCTGATCGTTGGGGGGTACGTGTGTATATATAGGAGGAAGAAGTACGCCGGAGGAGCAATGAGGGGCCCACGAGGCAGGGGCACGCCCTAGGGAGGGTGCCCCCACCCTCGTGACCGCCTCTTTTGTTCCTTGGAGCAGGGTCCAAGTCTCCTGGATCACGTTCGGTGAGAAAATCACGTTCCCGAAGATTTTATTCCGTTTGGACTCCGTTTGATATTCTGTTTATCCGAAACACTGAAATAGGCAAAAAAACAACAATTCTGGGCTGGGCCTCCGGTTAATAGGTTAGTCCCAAAAATAATATAAAAGTGGAAAATAAAGCCCAATATAGTCCAAAACTGTAGATAATATAGCATAGAGCAATCAAAAATTATAGATACGTTGGAGACGTATCACTGGACATCACCGTCGGCGCTCTTGGCTGCGATGTCCAAGGATTCCCGCAGGCCTACCTCGGGCTCCCGCTCTCATGGGAGAAACTCTGCTCCGCGGATTTCCTCCCCATGATCGCCAAAGTCGACAAGTACCTTTCGGGTTGGCGGGCGCGCCTCTTCTCCCCTGCCGGGCGGCTCGTCCTCATCAATGTCGTCCTGGATGCTCTTCCCACGTACGCTATGGCGGCTATGTTGCTCCCGCCGACGGTGATCAAGGCCCTGGACTCGCTTCGCCACGCCTTCCTCTGGAACGCGGCTGAACGCGCCTCTGGCGCTCAATGCCTGGTGGCATGGGAGAGGGTCTGCCGATCCAAGGCGGAGGGCGGCTTAGGGGTTCGCGACCTCGCGACGCAGAACCGCTGCCTGCTGATCAAGATGCTGCATCGGCTCCATGCCTGCTCCGCCTCGTCGCGGTGGGCGACGTGGGTTTGGGCCGAGCTCGCGGGGCGGTCCCTCCTCTCCGGATCGGTCGCCCGGACGACCGGGGAGCACGGCAAGGCTCTCAGCAGTCTCCTTCCGCTCTACCGCGGACTTACGACGGTGGGGGTCCGAGACGGGAGGCGTACATCCTTCTGGTTTGATAACTGGCTCCCGTGTGGAGCTGTCGCGGCGGCCTTCCCCGCCCTTCTCTCGCACGCGACTGAACCGGAGGTCACGGTGTGGTGGGTGCACTCCCACGGACTGGACAGTGCGCTCGTGCCCAGGCTCACCACAGCCGGTGCGGCGGAGCGGGTCACCCTCCTGACGCTCATGGACGGGGTCGTCCCGACCCCAGGAAATGACGTGTGGAGCTCGGTGTTGTGCCCGGGTCCCCGGGAGGCATTGCAGCAGCAGCTGTCTACGCTCTAGAGAGATTCGGTGGGGTGCAGGCCGCTTTTGCCGAGTTCATCTGGGGGTGCGCTGCTCCCTCTCGCGTCCGTTTCTTCGGCTGGCTCCTTGTCCAGCGAAGGGTGCACACGTGGGGCGTCCTCCTCTGAAAAACCATCGTCACTGCGGAGGAGGCGGCGTGCCCCATCTGCGGCGATGTGCTCGAGACGGCTGATCACATGATTTTTACCTGTCCTTTCGCGCATTCGTTCTGGCGATCCATTGGGCTCGAGGTGGCCGAACGTGGCTACAATGTTGGGGCTCTGCAGGACCTGGACGTTCGTGCCGTGGCCGGCGAAGCTGCTACCGCGTCCTTTGTCCTGCTGTGCTGCTGGCAGCTTTGGAAGCACAGAAACGCGGTGGTCTTCCGGGCCGAGCCGCCCTCCCTCACTCGTCTCCTCGGCTGCTGCAGGGAGGACGCGGCCCTGTGGAGGGGGCGCCTGAAGGTGGCTGACCGGCCGTGCACCGACAGGTGGTTGCTGCTGTTCACGCACTCTGGCTAGTCGACTTGTCTACCGCGGGGGAGGGCTCGAACTCCCCCCACCCTATCCTGACGCGAGCTGTGCGTCTGGGGGGTGCTGTCCCTCCTCTCCCTCTCGCTGTAAAAACCTTGTTTCCCCCGGGTGTGTGAATCAATAAAGGAAAAAGAAAATTCAGGTGGAAGGCTTCGCCCTCCCCTGGTGACCTTCAAAAAAAAATTAATGAAATTGGCAAGTCTTTTGCCTTGTTAAAAAAAAAGAATATAGAAGTACCATTACAACAATAAATCCCACGGGACGGATAGGACGAGTGGCGTCCACATCGTTCAGGCCGTTGGGCCCGTCGCCGTCCACCGTGACAGATGCGTGTTAAACCGCCGGAACCGAAGTACGGCTATGCACGTAGGCCATGAGCATGACCATGCACATCCCCTCGATGCTCCTCTCCTCCTCTTCCCCGGCGTGCTTGGCAGCTGTGACCGTGAGGAGCTTGCCACGGCAGAGCGGGCACGTCGCCCCCGGCCGCGCAGCCAGCCACCAGTCGAGGCAGCAGCGGTGGAACAGATGCTGGCACCTGAGCACCCTCGCCTCGTCGCCCTCCTCCATGCCGCCCAGGCAGATCACGCAGCGTTCGCGCCCCGCTCCACGCTGCTCACCGCACCGCGTCACGGGTAGCACCGTGGAGCACACCTCTGCCTCCCAGCATTCCTGCACCGGCGGGCAGGAGGACACCGGACGTGCCCACCCGATGAGGCGGCGGATGGCCTTTGCGGCGGCGACGACCAAGAGGGAGAAGAGGTGCAGGAGAGTGGCGACGAGGCTTGCCATTGTGCTTATCGAGTTGTTGTTCTCTTGAAGTGTCAAGAGAAGCATCTTGGAGCAGCATATATTGTGTGTGAGAGCGAGCAACGTCAAGAACAACTGTCACAAACGCGGTTTCCTGTTTCAGTACACAGTAGTAACAGAGGGGCATGTTTTTCCTTGGGTACCTTTATATCGATTAAGGAGGTAATCAAAGTAGATGCATTGCCTCTGTTATTATATTCACCCACTAATGACAATTGCAACCATACGGCCACACCAGCACGTTGGCCGGTTTCACGTACATTGCACTCTACACTGAACCTGTCAGACAAGGGTCTGCACAGTATCACATAGTATCTAGATCCCGGAGACCCAGGGTCATAATCATCAGATATTGTAATCCAAGGGGTTAGCTAAGACTTAAAATCTGAAGAGACGTCTGCCGAAAAGGATCCCTAAAGCACTGTCAAATGTTCACACCATAGGCAGACCATCCTGATATGAGAGGGCACACACCAGCAGGTTCATTCGGCTAGTGATGTACTCCCTTTGTAAAGAAATATAAAAGCGTTTAGATCACTAAAGTACTATGGACACGAACAAGGATCAAGCATGCAGACATAAAGATCGTGATGCATCACAGGAATATAAGTAACACCGGTAACCAGAACTACTCCTTCAATCCATAATATAAGAGCATTTTTGACACTAAGCTCTTATATTATGGGACGGAGGGAGTACTAAACAAGTAAAATAGCAGACTGAATAGAAAGAACACAACACACATCAATGAGCCGAGTTCAGCTTCAAGTTTCTTGTCCATACATTCATAGCAGGATGGTTTCGGCAATTCCATAGATAGAGCAAATGTTCCTCGCACAGACTGTTATGTCAATTACAGGAATTATTCGATTGAGATGCAAAGGACATAGCTGCCATGAAGATTGACCGACAACCAAGAGCTTCTTTAGCCTGGGGGCCAGTTCATCTGCCTCCCTCCAAGGAGATGGACATGGATGTGGTAAACAGATTGACCTGCAAACATAGATATCAGGTGATTGGTGGACAACTGGGCACAAGAATAGGTGTTACCCCCGCAAAAAAAGAATAGGTGTTAAAAACCAATAGCACATTGAACTGGGGGCATACATCCACTAGGGCCATCATTGATGACAATACGGTAGCCATCTTCAAGTCCTTCCTGCTTTGCGATAACTTTTGCAGCGTAGAGGAGGCAGCCAAGTATCTCTACATGCCTCTCTTCTGCCTGGAGAAATTATTATAAATGAAAACCATTTTCTCCCAAGCACATTAAATTCCAGGAAACTTTAATGGATCTACTATATGATGAGCAGTTGGATTAAATTGGAAAACTTAAACTGCAATTATGGATGAACAGTTCAACATTACCTTTGAAAGGCCGGTTAATCCATCCTTGACTTTGGGAATGATTACAATGTGGGTCGGAGCTTGAGGATTTATGTCTCTGAAAGCGAGGACCTGGAAAATGAACCCACGGATTAAATTTATTTTCAAGTATATGGTACAGTAGCAGATGCAGTATAGAGAAGAAATAACAAAACTCAAGTGTTCAGCCAAAAACATAAGAACAGAAGACTGGACTTCAAAGATGTAAGTATTTTTAAGTATATAGCGTAAGGCCCTCCAAAGAATGTTAATGTCAAATTCATAGCAGGGCATGGATGAGTGGATCAACTGGCAGAACTAGAAATTTACCGCTATTTTCCATTGGTCCATACCAATCTGCAAGTGAGTGAACATGGAGGGGGGCAACTAAATTTTTGGTATGCACTTATCATAAAATTCTGTGTACATGCTGTGTGTCTACATGGGGTCCGGGCATCTATGAGTAGCATAATGCATGGTCTCAGTGTAAACCATGGGTCCATTTATAACAGTTACTCCATACTTTTATCTGAAATTAATAAAAAACTCAACAACTCCACACAAAGGGAAGATTCAGAATGCCAGGTAACCACTAAGGCTTAACTATATTGTGAATTCCAACCATTGGTACGTGCAGTCCAAGAATGACTTGAACAACAGTAGTAAGTAGTAACATCGTCATAGCCAATGATTAAAAAAAGTACTAATATGTGTGCGCTTAAGCATTCTTAGGCTCTAGCATGGCAACAGAACACCTAGCTTAGGTGCTGCTAGGCGTGCACTTATACTGAGCATGTATATGTGTGCGCTTGGGAAAGATAGGCGCCGGGTATACGCAAAACTAGGAATTTACGCCTAGCAATTTTCTAACCATGATTATAGCTGAACTGCTATGTTGCCAAGCCCTCTAGTTCATTAACTAGATGAAACCGTCCTAGTTCCTAAAGCAACTGTATGTAATCCTTTATAACCTAACTCTTGATACAACACAACCCAAGTTATTCAAGGGGTTATATGGCATGAATTGCATCTCTGTAATATTCTAACAAAACCCATTCTTCTCTAGTGAACTCAATGTATGTACATCCACTCTAGTTTCAATGAAGGATATTTCATTAATACTGATAGTCCAACCTTGCATCAGTCATCATCACTAAAATATTGTCCGTCCTAACTGACTATGGAAAAGGGCAAATATTACTACACAATACCTTCTCATCCTCATACACCACTGTAGAAGGTATCTCCTTTTTGATGATCTTGTCAAATCTGCACATGCAATATATGTCAGAAATTGATGCACCTGCTCAAAGGCTTTGCTATACATAATTTAAATACTGACTTCTTCACATCCTTATAGGCATAGTTGATCTATTCAGCAAGCCAATTCTGTAACTGGGAAATAACTAGCACTAAGTGTTGATAACAGTACAATATGTCCCATTAACCCAGGGCATGTTCCTTACTCCTCCATTAACAAATTAGTAGCAAAACATGAAGCTACTGTTGTCAATTTTGAAGTTTTAGCAAATATTTCAGATTAGTTACAAAGATAATTACTATGAACATAAAAGCACAATACCAGCAGCGGTATAGTTCAACTGATGAAGCCAAAAGTGGACTACTGCTGCAAATCAATAGCCAACACGGTGAACCATTTCGTTAACAAATGGCTTGCACTAATGTCCCATATAGTTCTATTTCGTTACTGGACAGGCTCCGATTTGCACTCGGTTTTGCAGGTTGCAAATGTTCAAGTTGGTAAAGGAATACGACGACTACGAGTTATAATAGCATCACTGATGATCTCCCAGCAATCCAGCAGCACACAATCCATTGGGGAAGCTTGGGGACAAAACTAGTTCACTGATCCTTCACTACCCATTTCAACAACAACAACAACAACAAAAAAGCCTTTAGTCCCAAACAAGTTGGGGTAGGCTAGAGGTGAAACCCATAAGATCTCGCAACCAACTCATGGCTCTGGCACATGGATAGCAAACTTTCACGCACCCCTGTCCATAGCTAGCTCTTTGGTGATACTCCAATCCTTCAGGTCTCTCTTAACGAACTCCTCCCATATCAAATTCGGTCTACCCCGCCCTTTCTTGACATTCTCCGCACGCTTTAGTCGTCCGCTATGCACTGGAGTTTCTGGAGGACTGCGCTGAATATGCCCAAACCATCTCAGACGATGTTGGACAAGCTTCTCCTCAATTGGTGCTACCCCAACTCTATCTCGTATATCATCATTCCGGACTCAATTCTTCCTTGTGTGGCCACACATCCATCTCAACATACGCTTCTCCGCCACACCTAACTGTTGAACATATCGCCTTTTAGTCGGCCAACACTCCGCGCCATACAACATTGCGGGTCGAACCGCCGTCCTGTAGAACTTGCCTTTTAGCTTTTGTGGCACTCTCTTGTCACAGAAAATGCCAGAAGCTTGGCGCCACTTCATCCATCCGGCTTTGATTCGATAGTTCACATCTTCATCAATACCCCCATCCTCCTGCAACATTGACCCCAAATATCGAAAGGTGTCCTTTCGAGGTACCACCTGTCTATCAAGGCTAACCTCCTCCTCCTCACACCTAGTAGTACTGAAACCGCACATCATGTACAGTTCCCGCATTACCCATTTCAAATACTACAAATTCATCAATCCCCGCACAATTACTCGAGACAGTAGTGACAAATCGCAACATCTCAAACCACCAAAATCTATAATGTCACGGCTTTTGCCAGCGAAGCGCAATCCGACAGATCGAGCAGTCAGCGCCGGAACAATTAAGATAGCAACGGATTGGTGCGGGTGCGGGCCTTGCGAGAGGAGGAGAGAGGGGTACAGGGTAGGGTCTCACATGGTGGGGTTGTCGTTGGGCACGGCGGCGAGCGCCGCGTCTTTCTCCGACGCCATCGATCGACCTCCTCGAGCACCTGGTTGGTGATGGTCGCCCCCTGGAGCTTGGTAGATAAAGAGCACGGGAGGCCGAAACCCTCGGTACCTGATCAATTTACTGCTTTGCACTTCAAAATTCTAAATACGGCAGAAGTAACAAGAAAGTATTAAATAAAGAAAGGGGGATATTTCGGGAGAGGGAAGGAAGAAGGATCATGCAAAGATTGGGGAGAAGGAGGAACATCACATGCTTATTTTCTTTCGTTATGCAAAGGGAGTAGATTTACTTTTTACAAAGGCTTGATTTTATATTAATTTAAGATGAAGTATCAAAGCAATACAACACCCCGCAAATAAAAAGAAATACAAACACAATGAGGACATATAGTCTCTGCATAGTTAAAATATACACAGTCAATATCAATGCACATACAAAAATCACATGGGCAACTAGCAAAGCCATACAAGATCGAAGATGGGGTAATAAGAAAAGAAAAGAAAAAACTGAAGCGATCAAAACATTGATCAACGAGCTACAAAGACGATCATATACGCATCAACCATCTCTTGACCTCACAAGTACAACGAAAAGGTCCCCAATATCAACGCCTACGTGAAAAAAAAAAACGCACAAGCGACACCCTCGCAAGATCCAATCATTGAAAGTTAGACCTTCGGTTTTCACCCTGGAGCTCTAGACCGGTACTTGAGA